CAAGTCTGTGGAATGAATTGCCATTGAGCATTAGGCAGGCGCCGTCCCTTCAAGTCTTTAAGTCTCGTCTAAAGACTTGTTTCTATTTGATTGCTTTTCAGCGCTAGGGTTCATTGAACTGCCCTGACATTATGGTTTTTAATACTTCTTTTTGATCAGGATGCTTGATCATATTTTGTCCACCATTTGTTTTTAATTGATTAGTCTCATTCCGTTATCTCTCTGTATTTGTAATATTGCTTGCTTGTTATTTTATGATTTTATGTTTTTATCTTGCTTTCATGCCCAGGTACTGGGAATGTTTTTATGATGATGCTGTTCAGCACCTTGGGCTTCTGATAAAGTTGCGGAAGGTGCTCTACAAATAAAATTGATTGATTGACTGATTAATCATTACGTACATCGCGGAGGTAACTAAATAAATCAAGAAAAGATTCCCATCAGAACATCAGAGCTTTATACTGGACACTGTGCTCAGAGCAGCTCGCAGCACAAATGGTGGACAGTGGGTTGAAGATCTGTAGAGGGGTTCGCAACACAGCGCAGAACCACAGCGATGCGGTAAGATTTCCTCCCACTGAAGCGGTCTGGAAACCCGGTCTCTCTGAGGGATGTGTCACTTGGAAAAATGTTCACCGATTATAAAACTTTGGCTGAATAGTGCTTGTTCCCGTCTCCAATGTGGAGACACATGACGCATCCTGTCTGTCTGAGGCAGAATAGCCTTTTCAGCTTAGAATGCACCTGTAGAGACATTTGATTACGCACAAAGTTTATGTGGAGCAGAAGCGGTCGGTCCACGGCAGGTGAAATGTTCCTAGCGTACTTGAGGTGAAACTGTTTAATTGTAACATTAATATGTTACTGGACACGCTGGCCTGGTTGGTTAGACCGGAGTTTCAAGTGGAAAACACACAAACACACACACACACACTCAAAAATGCACCAACGGGCGTAAGGACCTGTTCTACTGTGCTGTGGTCTATCGTCCACCTGGTCCAAACAGTTCTTTCCTTCAGGAGTTTAGTGACTTTCTATCCTCCACTGTGAAGCTGTCCAGACTGGTGATTGTTGGTGACTTTAACATCCACGTTGATGATCCCTCTGATCATTTTGCCGTGAATTTCTCCAGCCTTATGGACACCTTTGGCTTTACCCAGCATGTTTCTGGCCCCACACACACCGGGGGCACACTCTAGACCTTGTTTTTACCCTGAGTCTAAATGCTGACAGTGTTTGTCCTGAGGATGTTTATATTTCAGATCACCATTGCGTTTTCTTTAACTTGTCAGTTTCTGTGTCCCCACCTCCTGCTCGCCGTATAGTTAGTTCTCGTTTTCTTAACGAGAGCACAGCTAGCAATTTTTCTGCTGCTTTTGATCCACCCTGTTCTTCCGATAATGACCCAGATTCCTTAACTTCTCAGTTTAACGAGCACTGCCTCTCCATTCTGGACAACATCTGTCCTGTCAGAACCAGATCAGTTCCTGCAGTGAACCCTACTCCCTGGTATAAGGACAGCCTTCAGCCTGAAGCGCCAATGCAGGAAAATTGAGCGTTTGTGGAAGAAAACCCATCTCAACGTCCATCTGCTGCACCTAAAGGATCTTCTGTCATCCTTTAACTCTGCAGTCAGAGATGCTAGGGTTTCCTAGTTCTCCAACCTGGTGTCCCAGAGCAAAGGGAACCCCAAGGTGCTGTTTAACACCATCAGCAGCATCGTCTCTCCTGCCTCTCCTACAGCCTCCATCCACTCTGTTACAGACTGTGAGAACTTTCTGTCTTTCTTTGTGGACAAAGTCAGTAAGGTTAGATCTAGCATCTCTCCTTCAGCCTTATCGCCGCCTCTCCCGACTCCAACCAGGCCCATCATCCTAGATAGCTTTGCTCCTGTTTCTTTGCCTGAGTTAACCAAACTAGTTAACTCTATGAAGACCTCTGCATGCCCCCTCCACATCTTACCCTCATCTTTGTTTAAAAGTGCTTTTCACTCCATCGGTCCCAGCGTGCTTTCTATAATTAATGCTTCTCTGGTTTCTGGTCAGGTCCCTGCTTACTTTAAGAACGCTGTAATCCACCCGCTTCTTAAAAAATCGAGTCTCGACCCCTCTCTCCATAGCAGCTTCAGGCCCATCTCTAAACTTCCGTTCATCTCCAAGATCTTGGAAAAGGTTGTGGCTAAACAACTCACAGCTGCTCTTGATGAACAGAACATCTATGATAGCTTCCAGTCAGGTTTTCGTAGAGCTCATTCTACTGAAACAGCTCTTCTTAGGGTCTCCAATGACCTTCTGACTCACAGTGATGCAGGGTTCTGGTTCTGGTCCTGCTGGACCTGACTGCAGCCTTTGACACCGTTGACCATCACCTGCTACTGGAGAGGCTGAGAGACTGGGTAGGCCTATCAGGATCTGCTCTGGAGTGGTTCTCCTCTTATCTCTCTGAGCGCTCCTTTTCTGTGGCCGTCTCCAAGTTTAGGTCCTCCACCACCTCTCTTACCCATGGTGTCCCACAAGGTTCTGTGCTGGGGCCTATGCTCTTCCTCCTCTATCTGCTTCCTCTTCAGCACATCCTGAGCTCCTTCAAAGGAATCTCCTACCATTTTTATGCAGATGACATCCAACTGTCCATCTCCTTTAAGCCCCATGAGATGTCTAAGCTGCAGCTGTTACACACCTGCTTAGACTCTATCAAAGCCTGGATGGTGGGAGCTTTCTTCAGCTGAATGAAGATAAGACTGAGATCCTCATCTGTGCCCCAGACAAGCTGGTTCCCAAAGTCAGAGACTCTCTTGGTCAGCTTGCTTCTCACACCAAACCTTCCGTCAGGAATCTTGGTGTGACCTTTGACCGGGCTCTCACCCTGGATTCTCATGTCAGTTCTCTTGTTGGCTCTTCCTTCTCCCATCTCAGGAACGTTGCTAAGCTGAGTCCCGTTCTGTCCCACTCTGAACTTGAGACAGTTCTCCACACCTTCATCTCCTCACGCTTATACTACTGTAACTCTCTTTTCACGTGTCTGAGCAGAACCTCCCTGAACCGTCTACAGGTGGTTCAGAACGCCTGTGCTCGGCTTCTGACCAAGTCTTCCAAACACACCCACATCACCCCGCTTCTCCTCCAGCTTCACTGGCTGCCAGTCACCTTCAGGGTTCATTTCAAGATCCTGGTTCTGGTCTATAGGGCCTTACATGGACAAGCACCATCTTACATTGGTGATCTTCTTAGTCCCTACACCCCCAGCAGGTCCCTGAGGTCCAGTGATCAAAGCCTACTGGTTGTGCAGCACCAGGCTAAAGGTCAAAGGTGACAGATCATTTGCTGCTGTGGCCCCCAGACTCTGGACCTCTCTCCCCCTGAGCCTGAGATCAGAGGACTCAGTGGTCTCCTTTAAAAAGCAGCTGAAGACCCACTTGTTCAAGCTGGCTTTTGTATGACCTTCTTCACCTCTCTCTCTTTATTCTGCTCTCCCCACCTATTCCACCTTCCTCAGGATCCACTGGTTTCCCTCTTTCCTGTTCACTCTCTCTCTTTCTTAACATTTTTTGTTTTAAATCCCAATAGCCTATTTTTGCTCATTTTAAATTTATTTTAAAACATTTTCTAAATGCTTTTTTATATTTTAACTTTTTTTGTTTTTGTGAAGCGCCTCGTGATTTTTATCTTGAGAGGCGCTTTAGAAATGATATTTTCTTCTTCTTCTTAAAATAATGCTGATGGCGTGGACTAGAAGACAGGTGATGGTTTATGTATTTAAATGATGATCAGGCTGCTGTAAAATGTAATCTCCATCCACATCCAGACAGAATTATTCTCTATTCTGTCTCTTTTTTCTCTGCTCTTGTCTGAGCTGACGTAGCTGATGGCGCGGCACCCTTATGAACCGTGAGGTACATATAAGAAGTGCAGTAGAGTTAGAAAAATCTGCAGGGCCACAAACACATTAGGGAAGATGGACTGTAGACTACTGATTAGCCCGTAAACGATCATGGTTCTATTTATATTACATTATTCATGTGTATTCTGCTGGGATTATTTAGAGCTGAGAGGTGCAGAGCTCTGATGGTTGACGCGCTCCAGACAGATGCATTCTGAGAACGGCCACAGTAACATTCTCAAAGTGTCGCCATCTCAAAAACAAATGTAACACGCAATCATGTAGCAGTTTTTCTTTAGTACTGAGAGGAGATGCAGGAAGAGTTAGTTTTTGTACCTGGTGGTTGCAACAAACAGACACCATGGAAGGTAATAAGACGTGTGGAACAGAAAATTAAATGATTCTTTCAATGTTTAACTCTGACAGGCTGCAGGCGCATCAGTGAGTTTGCGGTGGCTGCGCAGGGGGAGGGGAGAGGGCTGAAGCAGGAACCTTTAAATCTCTTGATGTGAAAGGCAACATTTTTGTTTGCATTCTTGCAAGGGAAGACTGCCTTGTAATTTGAAGTGACAGTGTTTTTTTCCTGGTGATAGAGGGCACTTCATTCCTAAATCAATGCAAGCAAGCAGTATTTTTGTATTTGAGTAAGACCTTACCAACGGATGGTCATTAGGGTAAAAAATTCCTGGGAATGCAATTTTTGAACGAGTACTTCATTAGACTGTTCAACCTCCACCAAAATGACGAGCACATCAAACTCCCTAACCCTAACCCATTTCTGCAGGACACCACTGAAACAACAAAAACCTGGTAATCCTTCTCTTGGTGAGAAGCGAGATGTTCTTCATTGAGGAGGGAAGTCCACAAGTGTTCAGCTGGACTAAGCCAATGATTGCATGGATGCAGAGGTTATCTACAGGCATTAGCTTGGCTGTAGAGAGCTGTTTCAGCCATTCAAATCTCAGGGGCTACTAGATCAGCCCTAACCACAACCTGGGCAGAACCACTGCTTCCTCTGGTCTTACAAACACCACAGGGAAGCCTCTGTTTCAACAGTTGGAGTCCATAGTGTGTTCAGATGAAAAGTGTGTGTGTGTGGAGAGTAGATGAAAGGTCACTCATACCCTTTTCATTCTTGCTGGGGTAGATCTTGTTAAAGGGCTTGTAATCCTCTGGAAGGGGAAGGTCCTCGATGGGGTGGAAGTTGAACTTGGCTTCAAAATCATCTAAAAGAGACAAGATGGAAAAGAATAAGTGTAGGCTGGAGCTGCAGAACAGTTCCCAATAACATCTCAGCCCCAAGAAGGAAAAGTGACTGAGGGGCTGTAGCAGCACACGGGATGATGAGTGTGAACACCACGCTGAAAGCTGGACATGCACCAGGAGCATGATACTGCTGCCCAGGCGATGAAGTGCGGTTGGGACTGTGGACAGTAGACAAGTTGGGGACAAAGGGACATGGACAAGGAAAAATCTATCTGGTATTCATTCGTGATCTGGATAATTCCAGTACATTCTGCAATGTCTGTGGTTCCTGTTGTCCAACTAGGGTGTACAAATAAAACAAACGTAGCAGCTAACAGCTGACGTTGGGAGACATTTGATCTCCTGTTGCTGAAACAAGAATCGTGAAGGATTTGGATTTGGTTTATTCTTCTATTCTATTCCTTTTAAGTCCTGTTTTCATTGCCTAATATTCTCATGTTGCTAAAATGCTGTCAGAACGCAAGACTAGCCAGGGATCCCCACTCTTTTCTTGAGATTATTTTCCTTGGCTGTGCAGGAACATTTTCGAGACTTTTTCAGCGGCTACATTACGACTAGTTATCTCCACTAGGGCTGGTGATATACCGATATCATCTTATCAGGATATGGTCTGAAGCAGATATGATACTGTACATATACCATTATATTGATAATTCTAGTTGTGCAAAGATAGTTGTCTTTCACAAAGCCACCTGCTCTCCTCTACCTGCAAGGCAACACGACTAGATCAGAAGTTATCCTCTACTTTAGTTCATACACTGCTACTTTACGAGCTGATATCAGTTTAAAAGTCCAAACTCTCACGGTCATGCTGTAATCACAATCAGTCACTAACATTAGAAAATTAACTATTATTGAACTTTCAAATTCATTGCATCTGCTCGCACCATGGAACATTAAACATCTGGTATACATAATGGCATTAATTGATGAGTTATGTGTTTTTGACTCTGAATAATCTTTATTTATCCATCTTGGATAACTTTTACCTTGAGTTCCTTGGTGACGGGGCATGCTTGGGTCCGTGTTTTTGATTGGTTGGGTGTAAGTAATGACTCTAGTATGAAGCTATCTAATAAACTATAATGGAAAATGAAACTTTTATTGATCCATTTTTTCTATTGAACCACATTTGAATGATATATATCGAAATAGAATTATTGTCCAGCCCTAATTACTAAGTTTACAGTTACCACTTAAAATGATTTATTTATAAATTTAGCCATGTTGGATTCAGTTTATTTATGTTACCTTTGTTCGAGTGAACATGCCAGTCTTCTCTGGGCTCTGGTCTGCGTACCTAGCTAAAGCAGCGTGGACAGTGGGGCTCTGCTCTCTGTGCCCATACCCAGTATTGTGATAGAGCTGAGTTTATGACCTTTTTCCTCATTCACACGTTTTTGTTTCTGCTGTCGGACAACAGAACAAGTATGAAAAGTGGAACGTGGCCCGGTAAAGCTACCCATTAGCTGTGGTCATGCTCACTACGGCTCCATTAAAACCAAAGGCACAGCTCTCTGCTGCTCCTCTGTCACCCAACAGAGAGGGAGGAAGATCTCCCCCTCCATATACTGTAATGAAGCAACACTCTGGAACTGAAAGTTGCTAGTTTTGACTCTTCTTTGGATGAATAAATCCTCACGTGGGTCTGAAATCAGTAGATCTAGCACCAAATACAGATGGAAACACTGGGAAGCAGAACTGTTGTAAGGGAATATGCAGTCTGATTTGTCGGTAGTGTCACGTGCAGCTAGGGATGTCCCGATCCGATCACAAGATCGGAAATTGGCCTCGATCATGTGGTTTCAGACTGATCGGGACTCAGGCTTTACTTCCCGATCCAAGCCCCGATCCGGACTGGATACTGGGTTCAAATTACAGAGCAACTTGATTCTCCTTAAAGGTTGTCAGGCTCCCCTGATGCCCTTAACTTACACACCCAGAAGGAGCACAAAAGAGATCCAGTTTCTACCTACATTATTTATATGGACTCAGCATAGCAGGGATTCTTTAGCGCAGAGATGCAGAGCGGCAGGCAAACCACTGATTATTCATGAACTCCAGCTGCGTTCTGCACACGGCCACAGTAAAGTTTTCTAAGTTTCTAAGTGGCGTCACCAAAGAATATATAATTAACACACAGTCATTCGTGTCCGTTCATTTTCTCTCTGGTAAGTTCTGTCTGTGTTTGAGCATGACGTGTGGACGCGCTGCAGTGCTCGTCACTGGCGCAGCTGGGCAGCGCAGCGCACACTCCGCTTTATTGGAGTCAATAGATCAATTTGATCTGCTGGTTAAAAAGTTACTTGTGAGGTGAAAAAGAAGGAAGCAGGCAGGAGTTTTTCTGGAGGACTGGGAGATGCAGGAAGATGAGAGACAGACAGGACAGGAAGATAGGAAAATAAAAACCAAGAAAACAAAACAAAGTTCTTAAAAAAATAAAATGTAGGTAGACTGATCCCACTACATGTTTGTACCTGTATAAAGCAATAACCTATCAGCATGTAGTATTTAAAATTCAGATCATCTTCAAAACTTCGTCCCATGCCCAGGGGCGTATCTAAGCATTTTAGGGGCCGAGGCAAAATAGACCCCTGCCAGGTATTTTAAGTTGAAGTGCTATCTGTTTTTATATTAGACTTTTTGTATTTGCAATAAAGTCCAAAATTGAAGAATTTATGTTATTTATTACTTGATTGTTCAAGCTACCTCACAGAAGTGATCTGTAGTTAAAAATTAAAATAAAAAGGTAATTAAATAAAAAATAAGGAACATTCTGGAACAGTTTCATCCTTTTCTTTCTTTTTTTTATGTATCGAAAGTATCCGATCAGGACTCGGTATCGGCAGATTCTCAAAATCAAATGACTCGGACTCGAACTCGAGGGCAAAAAAACCTGATCGGGACATCCGTACGTGCGGCGCTGTACCGCCTAGATGCAGAAATGGAAGCAGACCAACGCTACAGCCCAATATCGCCCATTGAAGGCAGCTGAAAACAGTCATGAGTTCCTCCACAAGAAAGGAAAATTAGTTTCCACGACAACTCTAATGATCCCAGGACATTTTACTTTTTTTCCCATGACTGGATAATTGGTCCATTATTTTCCAGGTTTTCCACGAGACAGGGGAACCCTGCTATGGCAGAAGCTCCTAAATCCATGATTAAATTATCAATCATAAATAAATGGTAATCTGGTAAACAGTAAACTAGGAGGGGCTAATGATGAGGGCAACTCACCGGTGAAGGATTTTGAGGAGGAGTTGGAAGGAAAACCATTCCGGACAGGTGGAGGAGGGGGAGGAGGTCCTGCTGGGGTCCGAGAGTTTGAGGATGGAGGAGGGGGTGGTTTCCCTCCTCGGCTTTGGGACTCAGAGATAGCAGAGCTGTGGCCCCGATATGGAGGTGGGGGGGGCGGAGCATCCCGTCCACCATTACGAGAAGTGGCGGGGGTACCTGTGATGGCACAACATAGGTATCAGGTAAAATAGTTAAAAATACCTTTCATTAAAAATCTAAATTACATTTTTTTATTTTAACTGTGTGAACACAACATGACTACTGGGCTAGCATGTGCTGGTGGGATTCACATAACTATTAGGAGGGGTAGAGGTACCTGCAGCCTACCCTCACTAAGCTAAAGCCAATAAGATGCAGGTCACATGAAGCTGACGTCATGACACATTGTGTTGTTAGTGCTGCGCCATTTTTAATGTCCACAAAAGACAATAACAAACTGTGAGACATCTTTGTGCGTTCATTCTGTGTTTCTTCTAACTGCATTGTTTGGTTCTGTTTTAAACAGAAAACAGTTGTTTTACCTTTTTTGCCGACGTTTCATCTACTACTACGGTCTTCTTCAGAGCTCGCCACAGTTGCATGGGATTTCATAAATGACTCCACACTCATATCGTGTTGATAACTGCATTTTTTTCTAACTGTTGTGTATGGTTTTGCAGGTAAGTGTGGAGTCATATATGAAACACCATACATAAGAGAAACCAGACACCAACTCAACACATGAACAACAGAACATAGAGTGTGAGAAGGAAACAAGCCGAAGACTCAAAAGAGCAGCACAACAAGAAGCAGAAAGTACAATAACGAAATCAGCTGTAGCCGACCGCTGCACAAGGGAAAACACATAATGGACTGGGACAGTACACGGATCATCAACAACAACATATAAGATGGATTAAGGAAGCCATAGAGACAAGGAGACATGGGCACAGGACCATGAACAGAGACGATGGAGATTGGAATACAACTCTAAACCATGCCATGGATACAACTGGCTCCAGAAAACAGAAAACTGGCACAGGTCAGTAGATCTTAAAATTTTAATCAGAGAGATGGACATGTTTGACATCTGGAGGGATGTCACGGCATCAGACGCAAATTCCTCTTCCGGTCTGCATTCTGGGAATCAAAACTAGGAATAAAAACTTTGAACAATTCTGGGAAAAACTAACAGTTGGAATCGGTTCCAATCGATGCTCGATGCCCAACCCTAGTGCTATATAAATAAAGTTTGATTGATTGATTCCATCATGCTGCACTTTGCCTGGCAGACCTTGGAGCAAGGGTCCCACCCTAACCCTAACCCTGACCCCCTTCATCAATGAGACATGGGTCACGTTAGACTACATCCTGCGAGCGGCCCGAGGTGTCGCCCTGCTGTTGGGAAGAGGTATGGCCTCGACGTTAGTGGCTCAGAGACACTTGTGGCTGACCCTTTCTAATGTCCCCAACAGGGACAGGGCTAACTATCTGGAGAAGCCCGACTCCCCCAGTGGCCTGTTTGGATAGTCTCTCAATGTTATCCAGACAAAGTTCGAGGCCCAGCGGAAACAGACTGAAGTGCTACGCTCCATCACCCCAGGCGAGAAGGGTGGCGCATGGCACCTGGGTCTGACAGGAGGAACCTGACCTCTCCTCTTTCACCTCAGAGGAACGCCTCGACAGCAGCAGTGAAGGGCTCAGTTACAGCTCGGACCCCGTCTCTCCCTCCTCGCCATTCGGCCTGGAGTAAAGGCCCTCCTGGAGGCTCACAGAAATGCTCTGTGAGCCGCAAGAAAAAACCTCAGTTGGCCTGATCCTGGGACCGACCTTGCTCGGGCTTTGGACCCTGTTGGGCTACAAAACCCCAGTTTTCTATGGTTGGAATGGCCCGGTTCAGCTATGGTTCAACCCCACATTCCAAAGAGACTTTGTTTACCGCTTCCAGGGGGCGAGTTTAACGGTTTCCAGAAACATGCACAGAATAATGTAATAAAGTCTGCTGTTTGCACTCGAAAATGTATGGATGCAATGTGTCTCAACAATGCTTCTCAAATTGGCCTCATAAAGCTGCGTCAATCCGCTTAGCTGGTGAACGACACCTCAATTTTCACATCAAATCTTGCCTGCAATCGGCCTGTGCAGGAGTGGGAAAAGCTGTTTTCTCCTGCTCTGCTGGAGAACAGCACCTTTCCTCCGGTAGCAGGCATGAACCTCCCCTTCCGCTAGAGGGCAGCAGCTCCCCCACCCGGACGTCGTGGCTACAGGAATCCCAGAGTCGTAGTTCCCTTTGAATTCAGATTTCTAATCCAGCCATGAGATGCAACCAGGGTCTGCAGATTAGACCAGTTCCACGTCTGAGGTGTTGCCGTGTCTGATATCATTCGCAAGTGTTGCAGAGCGATTATGACTTTGGTCAAAAGAGAGAATGATTCCAAGTGCTTGCTGGAGAATTGATCAGATCAGGAAGTGATCCTTGTATTTATTAAATGTTGACAAATTTAGACAAATCATAATTTGATAAGTTTAAAGGCGTTACCAAAGACTTCAGAGAATAACTCCCTCACTAAGATGAGTGGCTAACTCTTAGGCCGGGGACACACTGGCCGCGGAAGCGCCGCGAAGCGCCGCGAAAATGGGACCGCCTTCATTCGGCGCCCTTGTTAAGCTATTCTATAGACCACATGGGCCGCCGAAGCGCCGCGAATCGCCTCGCGCCGGCGCGCGCCGGCGCTCCAGCCCGCGCCGTGCAGCGATCATTTCGGCGTTGGCTCTATTTTTTTCGCGAGCCGCGGGTGAATCGCGTCAATTCTGGCAGGAAGTCAAACGTAGACATAAGAGGCAGGCCGGTAAAGTTAACAAAATAAAGCATTTCAAAATAAAATTCCGCAATAGTCAAATGTGTTCGTAAACAGACACTGCAGAAAAACCACACGAACACGCACACACATACACACACATCGAACTTGTGTGCGTGTGTGACCACGTGAAGGGGGGAGTGGTTTTGGGTGTCTTTTCACCGGAGCAAACAGGACAGAGAGGCAGAAAGTCTGAGGCAAGCAGTTAGGATGGATGACTTTAAATTAATTATGGAAGTTGAGAAACACAAGGAGCATACGACCCCCGAAAAACATGATTGTTTACGTACCCATGTCGGAAGAAACTGCTAGGATACAGCTGCAGAATTGGAGCTGGTTCCAAGAGATTCAACTGGCAGAAACATCTCATACCATAGGTTCACACACACACACGCGCGCGCGCACGCGCACAAACACTCAAACGTAGGAAAAGAGCTGAGAAAAGGCAGAGAGGAAATGGAGGACACCAAGTGTTTAAAAGAAAAACTACAGCTGAGCCGAGGCGCGCCTCGACTGGGGCGCGTCTGATCTGAACTGAGGAGCGGCGAGCAGCGGCCGAATTTCGTGAGCGATTCGCTTCTCGGCGCTTCGCGGCGCTTCCGCGGCCGGTGTGTCCCCGGCGTTAGTGTGAAGTGAAAATGTTATAACAGTAATGTGGAGCAAAAATGTTAAACATTAATAATAATGATATAGTGATATTGTATTCATACTGATAGATTAAATTACTAGAATCAGCAATTACTGATCTGGTGTAATTTAAGATTTGAAATGAATCATTACAGGAAAAATATTGATTTTAACCCACAATGTAAAGTGTAGGACACATTATTCAAACACTTAATTTACACTGGATTTAAATAAATTGTTCATTCAACAAAATGAGGTTTTTAAAAAGTAATTTCTGACAAGAAAGATGAGCTTTATTCAGAGAGTAAAAGTCTTGTCTTCTGCTTGAGACCTTGGCTTTCCAGCTGAGATAAGGGGCTAGGAGAAGGACTTACTATGTTTCATCTCGTCTTCTTCCGCCTATCTGGGTCCGGGTCGCGGGGATAGTGCGCCAACTAGGGAGTTCCAGACCATCCTCTTCCCGGCCACCTCCACCAGCTCCTCCGGTAGGACCCTGAGGCAATGTGTCCTGCGTCCCAGTTGTCCCACAAGTGTGGGCAAGATGGCGCCAGTGTTTTTGGCCAGATGTCCACCTCGCGGTCTCCTCCTATTGTTTTTGGTGATATTTCTGAACTTTCTTTCCCCCATAATTGCAATCATTAAGTATGATCGCTCTACTCTTTTGGACATACGGTTGGAAATGTGCCTTTCTCCACCTGCCGTGAAGGAATTCCAACATACCTCTTGCCCGCTGCTCCCTGGATATCCTCTCTACCTGTGTCGGATGCCGTGTTGCTTCCGTGGTTGGAAGCGTCGCTGTCGCGGCTGTCGAGCCGGGCGACTGGTGAAGCTTAGAGGTTTTATGGCCCGCTCACCTGCCTCCTTCAGGATTTCTATCGGCGTGGGGCCCAGTCTGTGTTCCTCTTGGCGATCCCTGGATCCGGCAGTTCCATATCTGATCCTGTTGGAGTTGCCCGGGGATCTGGCGGGCCCACAGCTCCGCTCTGTGCCAATGGTGCTGCACCGTCGTGGAATCTGCCCAGCAAACCTTCTCCTAGTGCCGATGTCGGCGGCAGTCTGCTCCACGGCTTGGAATGTACATCAAGACTCGACCTCCATCAGCTTTGCTCTTATAAACGCAAGATCCATCAGAAATAAAACTTTTATTCTAAGAGAACTTTTCCGTGATCGAGCGCTGGACTTTCTCTGCGTCGTGGAATCCTGGATCACCCCGGGTGAGTCCGCTGTTCTGGCGGAGACTCTCCCCCCTGCATGTTCATTCATAAACTCTCCAAGACAATGCGGCGGAAATCTTACTTCTGGGGCTACGATATAAAACATAATAATAATCAACTTCTCCTCCATGTTTGCTCAGAGGTGTACGGAGCGTCCTGTCAGCTCATTGGTCAGTGAATGAAACCGCCGTTGATTGGTCATCGTCCGAGCGACAGCGATGAAAAGTTGAAAATGTTTCAACTTTCTGGGATCACGTCGCTGGGTCGCCTGTGCACGAGCGCAACATTTCACACGCCCGTTTTTTGCGTTTCGCTTGGTAGAAGGGAGACCCGCGATTATCGCTTTGTTGCGCATGTCTCATTGAAAATGAATGGAGGAGAGGCGATGTCGCCTCCCGTGTGTCGAGCCCATAACACGACTCATCTCTTTATGCTACCTCCTCCTCACCCTCCTAGCTGAGCTGACAGAGGGTGTGTAACAGGCCTAAGAGCTGCCCTTTATTACCGGTTCTGTTCATTACCTTTATGGACAGAATTTCTAGGCACAGCCGTGGTGTGGAGTGTGTCGAGTTTGGTGGCAGGAGAATCTCGTCTCTGCTTTATGCGGATGATGTGGTCCTCCTAGCTTCATCCAGCTCTGACCTACAGCTCTTGCTGGGTAGGTTCACAGCCGAATGTGAAGCGGCTGGGATGAGGATCAGCACCTCCAAATCTGAGACTATGGTTCTCGACCGGAAAAGGGTGGCTTGCCAACTCCGGGTCGGGAGAGAGGTCCTACATCAAGTGGAGGAGTTTAAGTATCTCAGGGTCTTGTTCACGAGTGAGGGTAGGAGGGATCGGGAGATCGACAGGCGGATTGGTTCGGCGTCTGCAGTGATGCGGACGCTGAGCCGATCTGTCGTGGTGAAGAGGGAGCTGAGCCAGAAAGCCAGGCTCTCGATTTACCGGTTGATCTACGTCCCAATCCTCACCTATGTCATTACCCAAAGCTCATGACCAAAGAACAAGATCGCGGATACAAGAGGCCAAAATGAGTTTCCTCCGTAGGGTGGCAGGGCTCAGCCTTAGAGATAGGGTGAGGAGCTCAGACATTCGGGAGGGACTTGGAGTAGAACCGCTGCTCCTCCGGATCGAAAGGAGTCAGTTGAGGTGGTTTGAGCAACTGGTCAGGATGCCTCCTGGACGCCTCCCTGGGGAGGTGTTTCGGGCATGTCCTGCCGGCAGGAGGCCCCCGGGTCGACCCAGGACACGTTGGAGAGGTTACATCTCCAATCTGGTCCGGGAACGCCTTGGGGTTCTGCCGGAAGAGCTGGTGGAGAAGGCCGGGGAGAGGACAGTCTCTGGCTCCCTAGTTGGGATGCTGCCCCCGCGACCCGGACCCGAATAAGCGGAGGAAGACGACGACGATGACAGCTCTTAAGTAGTGATGCACAGATATGAAATTGTTGGGCCAACACCGATATCCGATATCGAGATCACTGTTATGGCCGATAACCAATATTTGCCGATACCGATATACTGACATTAATGCTTCTAAAATCAGCAGATTTGTATAAAATGAGAATTATTAAAGCTGAATTTACGTTATGTACACACAACACACACATTTACGGTTCTGAGATGATTTCATTCACTGTCACGAGACTAAACAATTACACATCCCCCCGAAATGGAGAAACAACTGGAGACAAGATGGAAAAAAAATATCTGTTGTTAACTCATTCACTGCCAGCCGTTTCTTTATCAGAAAAGCCCTTCTCTGCCAGCGTTTTTACAGTTTTTTTTTTAAGAGTCACAGAACGTTGCGCGCTAGAATGATGTCGATGCCAAAACAACCAAAACAAAGAGTAGACTCACCTCTTAAATCATGAAGAATCTGCACATTTTGAGCTTTATCCGTTCTTTCATAATCCATTGTTGAATTGTGATTGGCAGAAGCTTTTCCGGCTCGCGCCTCACTTTTTTTTACAGCAGCGGCCAAAAACGATCTCCTCACACATGGATTTTCTGCTTCCTGGTCATGTGACGTATGCGGATGAAGATCGGATTTAGAGCTGGGATGTTTGCTCTCACGGTGCAGGGCTCGTTCCGACGCCCACACAGTAAAAACATGCAAATGACGACCAAAGCAGTGAATGAGTTAATATCGGCCCGATTTTATTCATCGGACCGATACAGATAAGTTAAAAAATGACTAACAATGGCTGATACCGATATTGATGCAGATATATTGTCCATCCTTACTCTGAAGATGGGCAGGAGACATGAATTTGTCCTCATCAGCTTTGGCAATCTAAAACATTCATACACAAGAGACTTCGCTTCCTAGGTGGAAACGGAGCAGTCCTGGTGGTTGCTGTCGCAACATCTGCTGCGTGTGTCCATTCAGTTTCACTTTTGTTTTGGTCCGCTAACTTTTTTTTTATTCGCTGTGTTGGAGTCGTCTTTACGGTGGGCTAAACGCAGTGTTTCACACTGTGGTTTAGAGTCAATCCAGTTAATCCCTGCAACCCTAGCTGAGAGTGCATCCAATTGATACGATGTCCACTCTGATGTTGGGGTTAGACTACCCTAGACCCATCTTTTAAAAAGACATGTCACAGAAGCCCCAAGTGTAAATTCTGCTCTTACCAGTTTGGCGTCCCGGGGGCTCTCTGGCAGGTGGTGGTGGTCTACTGGCCTGCTGGGAGGAAGGAGATGGTGATGGGGGAGGTGGAGGAGCTTGGCTACGACCCTGGCTGCTGCTTGATGCATTTTGATGGTGTTTTTTACGTAGTGAGTTGTTCCTTTGTGGAAGCTCTGGAGCCCCAACAGCATCTACTGAAGAAGACCCATTGGAGACGCCTCCTGCTAGGTGTGATCTATAGGGGGGCGGAGGAGGGGGTGCAGAGGAGCTGCTTGTTGGTGGTCTAATGGAAGACTGAGATGGCTTTGAGGTGTTTGATGGGTTGGGGCCTCGGCTCGGTGTTGGCGGAAGGGGTTTCTCTCTGCTGTAGGCCGACAATATGGAAGATGGAGCTTTTTGGTTTGGGGCAGGTGTTGCATTACCTCGGCTGTTTTTGCTTAAGGGTGGAGGAGGGGGTGGTGCAGAGGTGCTGTGCTTCATCCCGATGCCCATGGAAGAGCTGCTGCAGCTGGCAGGGTTTGAGATGTCAGGCAATGAGGGTCTTTGGGATCGCTGTTGGGTTGGTGGAGACAGCTTCTTGGCTGAAGGTGAGCTGGAGGGAGCTGCTGGAGGGCGAGGGGCAGCAGGCCGGCACCCTGGAGGCCGAAGGGCAGATCGGCCCACTGAACCACCAGCAAATCCATCTGAGAGTAAGAGAACAGACAAATATGACTTGAATCCAAGAAACACAAGATTTCTGGTTTTCTTTTGATGTAGAATGCATGTGTAATAACACTTTTCACAAACAGGAATGAAAATTTTAACCTTTAAAACATTTACTTTAGACAGGAAACTGTTGGCAGTTTGTTTGATCTGAAAGTAGAGAGTAATGCCATCCATCTATTTTCCTCTGCTTGTCAAGGTTGGGTTGCAGACACAGTAATCTAAAGTTGGGCATACACTGCGTGACATTTTCACTAGTAGCATTGAGCTTTATTTCAAACAGTAAGATTTCCTCTCAGAGCAAAGTTCACGAGTCATGTTTGGACACTGTACATCTGGTAGCAACACGTTGGACCTTCAGGTCCAGAAACCCAGAAGACCCAGAGGCTGTCGTGTTGTTATTGACAGTCTGTTGTCCTTTGGGCTTGCTGCTCAAAGGTTTATGGGGGTTGGAGAATGAAGACGAAAGTATAAAAGTAAAACAGTGTTTTGGGATCAGTTTATTTGACATAAATACAGCTAGGGCTGCAACAACGAATCGATAAATTCGATGAAAATCGATTACTAAAAGCGTTGGCAACGAATTGCGTCATCGATTCGTTGTGTCGCACAACTCTTCCAAAAGCGCCCCCCCTTCCCGCCCGCCGTTGCGCGCAGACAGATCAGCGCGAAGGAGAGCCGGCAGTTGTTTGGAAGAGGAACATGGCAGAAGCAGCGAGAGTCAAAAAAGTAAAAGCTTTTTAAGTTTGGGAGCATTTTCAGTTAAATCAGGCGAAGACATGCGTTACCTGCAACGTTTAGGTCAGACTTAGCATGGCACGGGATGATGCAGCGTCTTAAACGCAAGCATGTCAGGATCATCAGCGAGGAAGGAGAGAACTCTGTGTCCGGGTAAATTAAAAACTTTTCAAAAGTGATTCATTCAAGTCCCGGATTATTACACAGGCTAGACATGCCCTAAGCTCGTAAAAAAAAGTGTCTAAAGTCGTGAGCGCGACGCTTATTAGATGAGCGGGGGGACTCGCGCTGCTGCAAACCGGTTCCGCCCAAGGCCGGATTAACTGGGCAATTGCCCAGGGCCCACGAACTCTAAAGGGCCCAGGGCACGAGCAAAATACTGTATCTATAATTTCCCGCTTTATGAGGACTATGGTGACCATAGGCGTCATTTTAACCGGGGACGCCGGGGACATGTCCCCAGCAAAATTTGTGATTGGCTGCTGTGTGCCCCCCACTTTCAAAAAAGCCTGCTGATGAGGATTTTTGTTTTACCAGCTCAGATCTTATACCAGGGGTCGGCAACCTGTTCCCATCAAAGAGCCATTATTACCCGTTCCCACAGTAAAGAAAACACCGCAGCAGCAGCGGCGTTGTGGGCGGGGCCTACCCTCAGACAGCAGAGCGCTGCTCACAACAGGTGACAGCAGCCGGGGGCATCGCACCCGTGGGGGATTCAACACCCACACTTTTCCAGCTGTTTGCTCACCTCCACACCGGTCTGGTTTCTTTACGTCGCACTCACTCTGTTTGCCTCATCTCCTTCTTCACCTCCCGCTTCTGACAGCCGATGTCGGGTTTCCAGGAGATTAGGAGAGGGAGGGACGGAAGAGCTCGACTGAATTCAAAATTTTACATCTTGACATTAGCTGTACAAAGTCTGAGTTTGATCAAGTGAAGAACAACAATCTGCAGAGGTTTATAATAGGCGTGGCGCCAGGTTTTCATTTTTGGGTGGGCCACGGTAATTTTGGACGGACCTTAATAAGCAGTGACTTAAGTGAAGCAAGCAGGTCGCGCTAGAAAATTTAGTTTAAAAAGACGTCATAAATGTGTTCCCCCGTCATTTTTATTTCTAAAATATGAAGTAAAAACTCACAATTTAATTTTCATTCATTTGTCATTAATATGTAGTCTACACCCGTGCGTTAAGTGGACCATCTTCCAGTAAAAGCAAAGCATCCCCACCTCTCCAAAGATGGAAGGGCCGCAAGCGGCTCCAGAGCCGCGGGGTGCCGACCCCTGTGCTAGCCTACTTTATTGTCCCCAGCAATTTTTAAACCCCACTCAAGTGTATGGTTATTGTCCCCAGTAATTCTGAAAACAAACTGACGCCCTTGATGATGACCGTACGTTCCGTTTTCCCCGGACGTGTCCACTTTTCACTCTCTGTCCGGCGCGTCCGGACTGGGGGTTCTTGATGAAAATGTCCGGCTTTTCATCCAGGAGCAGGGATCGAATTATGGGGGAGCTGTATATCCTACACATCCGGGGAGCCGGAAAAAAGTTTTCTATATTATATCATTTTTGGACTCTTTTGAGCAGAGAGCGGCACAGCGCATTGTTGCGCAGCGATCCAGGCAGCTGCTTCCAGCGCACGGTCCATTCTCAAAGTGGCGCAACCAAAAAACTATAATTAGCACACGATCGTTCATGTCTGCACATGTTCTCTATTTTCTGTCTTATTTGTGCCTGAAGCGCTCTGCTACTGCGGAGCTCATCACCTGTGCTGCGGTGATTTCACCTCACTGACGCAGCATCGAAAACGCGCTCTGCGCTTTGCGGTCAGGAGATCCCTTTGATCTGCTCAGAAGTAACTGATGAGGTGAAAAAGTAAGAATCCAGGCAGCAGATTTTCTGGAGAATTAAGAGGAGATGCAGGAAGATGAGAGACAGACAGGACAGGAAAATAGTTAAAATAAAACAACAAAACAAAACAAAGTGTTGAAAAGTAAAATGTAGATAGATTTATCTCCACTACACGTTTTTACCTATAAAACAATAAGTTATACACATGTAATATTTATAAATTTGATACTATTCAGATCACCTTCAACACTCAGTCACACACCCAGGGCCGTTTCAAGACATTTTGGGGGCCAAGGCAAAATGCCTATGTTTAATTACATTTAAAATTAGTTGTTTGACATCCCCAGTTATAATAAATGTCTACAGATGAGATCAAACAAAACAGATGAGAATTGCCCTTAAGCTGTTTAATTGGACGAAGCATTTTAGGTCACAGATAGATGTAGCTTAGGGTCTCTGTCTATACACCTTATAAGACAATTTAGATGATGGCATGTTGTTTTTCTGCTATTGAACTGTTTTCTAATAATGTGTTAAATAAAGTGAAGGAAGGAGAGAAATAACGTTTCCCTAGCAGTTTTTAAAAATTTCCCCATGTAATCCGATTAATCGATTAATCGTGTCGAGACCCCATCCGATTCATCGATTATCCAAATAATCGTTTGTTGCAGCCCTAAATACAGCTAACGTGCTGCACAGTGGTGCAGTGGCTAGAGCTGTTGCGTTGCAGCGAGAAGGTCCTGGGTTCACTTCCCAGCCTGGGATCTTTCTGCATGGAGTTTGTGCATGCGTGGGTTCTCTCCGGGTACAGAGTTCTCTCTCTCTGAGTACAGAGAAAAACTATGAAAGAATGGGGGGAAACAACATTAAAACAGTGCATGCTGATGATACATAAGCTTTGGTTCTGTATAGTTAAATTTTATTTATAGACAAAAATGTAGTTGTAATTATCCCTGTACATACAAACAAGTATACCAATGTTTAAACAGAGAGGATGAGAATCTTATATCACTGCATGTTGGGTTAGACAATGCTCTGACTATAGTGTTACTAGACATATTCAGACGACATAGATTTATAAATAGAATTCCTCAAAACAGCATAAAAAGTAGGAAAATTACTACTAACAAACATCTGACTCACAGAAGTCCACCTCAGGAGTCTAAGTAGGATTGTAAAAGCGTCCTGATAAGCCACTTGTAATTTCCTCATGGCTGATTTGCCATAACTATACCACAAATGAGCTGCATAAAAGGAAGTGCAGTAGGTCCGAAATTAGGGATGCACCGATTGATCGGCATTTGATCCCAATCGGCCGATAGCGCCCCTATCGGTTTTGATCTGAGTTTTCAAAATAGATCAAAGCAGACCGATCAGGTAGGGTTGTCACGGTAACCGGTGTAGCGGTAAACCCCGGTAAAAAAAAGTTGACAATAATAATAACCGTCTTGTTTTTAAAAAAAACTATATTATCTTGGTGGGTTTACCGTGGCTGCGGTGTAGGCGCGGTGACCCTTACCAGCCACCGTATCATCTGCTGAAGTTGCCGGCGGCACATGCGCGCTTTGATGTTTACAACCAAAACTTTCTTGAAGCTAAAGCTGAAATAATGGCCAAAGGAGGAGATGGAGACACTTCAGAACTCATGACACATCTGCGTGACCATCACCCACAACTCTACAGTCAACGCAAGGCAAGCTAACGTTAGCGTTTTAGCTAAAATGCGTGATCCGAGGATTTGGGTTGAGGGAGAATGCAACGAGTCGCTATATAAAGCAGCCGCAGCGCCGCTACCTGCATATAAACCGTGTCGCGGACACCCCCATGTTGAAATGACGCTATGCATTACGGGGCTCCCAGGGGCAGATAAGAGTTGGTCTCTCTCCGAGAATAATTATGAATTTAACAACGATTACTGCCTGATGACATTTTCCCACATCTGCAAAGCTCACTGGAAGGACACAAACCGAGGACAATATTTTCCTGATATAGGGTTTATTATTCAAGTAAGGGTAAAAAAGTATCTGATTAGAAGGCTACTTGAGTACTGAGTATCATCTGATCTAATATTTTTAAAAAGATGACATCAAACAGACAAAAAATAAGAAGTTATGGGCAAATATTGGTATTTTAAAGACTAAAGGGGAAAAATGTAAACAAATAAACAGCAAAATTTAGACACAAACTGAGGACAATATTTCCTGACATACAGGGTTTATTTAATTGTGTGAAAATGTAGCACGTTTACAAAAAATACCGCGATAATACCGAAAACCGTGGAAATTTTGGTCACAATAACTGTGAGGTTAAATTTTCACACTGTGACAACCCTAATACAGACCATTTTAGATTAGGTTACATTTCCTTTATTCCCAGATTATGTAGTTTGTAGCACTCATTATAATGTTGTAGAAAATTTCTGGCCAATCCACGTGATCGGTATGGGTGATCGGTATCGTGATCGGCAGCAAAAAACCTGATCGGTGCATCCTTATCCGAAATAGGGCCACTTTGACATCGTCAGAGTGCATACCAAATGTAAGTGTCAGAATATTTGCTAGCATATACAACTTACTGCATTGTCTCTTTAAATCTTCACCAGATAAATCACTTGTCAGAATATGACTAAGATATTGTACTTTATCCACCATAGTTAGGGGCTGATCCACCAAAAAGATTGTTGGAAATTTCAAATTATGATATTCTTTAGCTGTAGCAGTCACAATAACACT